ATTGGAACCAAGTATGTAGCTGAAGAAGATGGCTGATCTGCTGGATCAGATGTTGATCCTTGACCTGTTCGTGATGTGGAGACAGTCAATGGAGTTGTAGCGGAAGGTGGAGAGAGGCTTTTTTTCTTCCTCTTAGGGACGTCGGGCAAGGTTGACTTATAAGTTGGGATGAAATTGAGGAGTAGAGGCGCCTTTCTTTTGTGAATTGGCAAATCCAGAAGTCTCTTCAAGTCTTTGTTGGGGACAAAGGAAATCTTTTGGTGGCTGACGAACAGCTGCAAAAAGAATAGACGTTAGAAACAAACAAAGTATTTAAGACTTCGAAAGAAAACAGGTAAAGCTGAATACTGGGCTCTTATCCTTGCCCTCTAAAACTGATCGGGGAAGAGGGAAGAGACGGATGTCCTCGTCTGGAGCAAACTCCCAATTTCCCGAGGTAATGAGATAATCATCTCCAGCCCCCTTGTTGGAGTGTGGGAGGTCGGCTATGATTTTGAATTCTATAGACCTCGGCTTAAGGTAATAAATGTAGCCTTTTTCTTTCAAGTTAAGGGCACACATGGTGTAACAATACTGTATATCGGCTAGGGTGATCCTAATGTTTTCCTGTTTAGCTAAGGCGATAATACCAAAAATCACTCGATAAGAATTGATTGCCAGTTGCATGGGGTTCAACTTATAATAATGAAGAATCTCGCGAAAAAGGATGTTGAGTGGAAGTCGGAGTTTGCACTCAGTAAAAGCTACAATGGGAAGGGGCATGACATTTTCTGTAGGTATGATGGAGTCATCATCCCCAGCCAGCCTCAGATAGACATCGGCAGGAATGGAGAACTCTTGCCTAAAGTACTCAAGTTTGGTCGGGGTATCTACCCTATGTCTCCACATACCCATGATAAATAAAGGTATTGGGTTACAATAAGAAGATGGTTCAAATAGGGATATTGGGACCTCGGCAAAAAAAACCTAGGTTTTTGTTGATGAAGAAATTTGTAAGGAATGTTTCAGTTTTGCCCTAAAGCGTGTGTTCTACAAACAAATCCCAAACCTAAAGTTATGAAGATGAAGATCAAAGGCACAGATCTGGAAAAGATACAAAAAACAAAAAACAAATACGAAGTTTCAGAGTCAAGAACAGAGATGGACTATCAAGAACATGAAAAATATAAAGGGTTGAAGGCTAGGAACAGTAGCAAGAGGTGCAAGAAGAACTAAGAACAGTACATGTATTCAGGGCATAAGCAAAGAGCAAAATCAACGCATTCAGATGTATGGTTTACAAATTGATTATTTAAGCAAAGCAGTAATAAATAAGAAATTCCAGAAAAGATCAAGAACTGAAGTAGAAAGAAATAGATGCTTACCAGAAAATATGAAGCCGGTATGAAGATTGCCAAAGTCAGATGAAAGTTACAGATGTAACAAAGACAACGAAAACTTCACAGGAAGAACGAAAGGTAATTACAGAGCTTGGAGCTTGAGCAATGGCGGATTTGAAAAAAAGAATTTAGAGAGAGAAAAAGCAAGAGAAATCAGATGCAAAAGTGAAGAGACGAAAAAAAGGGAAAAAGTTTTTGATTAAACAGAAATGGAGGCAAAAGCAATCAATACGCCTAGAAGAACAAGGGCGTCAGACGGCGCACATGATGAAAGAGGCGGCTAACTGGCATGTCACGTGTACGGACCAATAAGGGGGAAACGCGTGGCTAAAACGGTTGGGTTGAAGTGCATGACAGTTCATGCGCATAAGAAGGTCCTTAAAAATCTTGATTTTTTTAGGGAAAGCATGTCGGCCTGAAATGAATGATCTCGGCACTCAAATTTTAAGCCGATTTACTGGAAGAAAATACAGATATAGGTTCCATCACCTCAGAATGCCCAGGTAATAGAACCTAGGGGGCAGTTGTGAGGATATATTTTTTGAGTACCAACACGTGGCAAGGTGACGCCGACATGTCAGCCGAGATGCCACGTATCCTGGCCGAGACGCTGAGGTTATCTCGGCAAGGCCGGGGTTATCTCCAAAGATATCAGAATCCGAGATAAACGGATAAGGGATTAGAGTCCTAGGATAAAGAGGAGACTTAGCCAAGATAAGGATAAAACTCTTAGGGAGTTTATTTTTATCTCTTGAAGAGTCCAAAGTAAGCACTGAATGCGAGTCCATAGAAGTCAGGCTTCTGGTGGGATTAGGATTGAGTTGGCTATAAAAGAGAGGCACTCCCGTGGGTCTAAGGTATGCTTTTTATGCTTAAGCTTGTGAGTTTAGCACTTGATTATCTTTGAGAGATATACTGACTTGATCGTCGGAGTGCCCCCGGGTGGTTGAACCACCGCCAGAGACTTCTCTTTCTGTTGGAGGTTAGCTAGAGGCCATCTATTCTGCCAGGGCTTTTCCAGCTGATTACTAGGCGGGTAGTGTGGTCAGAAAATTACTCACACAATTATAATGATAAAGTAACGTAGAAGAAAGAGAGAGACAAGAAATAGGGTTCCAAAATTCGTTGGAAGGGGAAAGGGGTTCTTTATACCTTGTTCTGATTGACTGCTAATTAATCGAATAGCTGTGGTGATTAAAGGCGAACACGGCAGTCCTGAAGCCCTTTCGAGGGTTTTCAAAGCTTTACGACAGTGTCCTAAAACAGAGAGAGGATCACAGCTGAACGATGCACTCAAAATAAAGAGAGGATCAAAATCAATTTCTGTGAGAGGCGAACGGTGCACTCATATCTTCGATGGCGAGACTAATTCGACGGTAAGGCACTCATCTCATCTCTCTTCTCTTCCTTTCGCTTTGAGAGGCTGCTGTTGCTATTGTTATATATATATATACTAGAACACTTGACAACAGGCTTGAACTCGTACTTAGCGATGCTCGTATCTGGGGTTGCTTCAAAGCTGAAGAACCCCTATTTTCTTTCCTATTCTGATTGAATTCTTCAAAAGTTGGAAACTTGAATTTGAAAGAGAACTCGGGTGTTTGTTTTTGGTCAAACCCATTTGAAAATTCATTTGTCTTCTTGGTTGGATTCGACCCCTGTATATCCATGGTTGTAACCCTGCTTTTGGCTCAATAGGAATCGAATCTTTAAGACTATTTTTTGCAGAAGAAACCTCTGATTGGTTTGAATTGTCCGCTGATGACCTATCATTTCTTTTGAATCTGCAACAAACAAAAAAATCAGAAACAATGTAAGATTTTAAAACAAGTAAGATTTTTTAATTACCATAAAAATAGAAAAAGAAAATTGAAGACAAGAGTTTTGAAATACCTGATAAGGTATCTCTTAAAGAAATCAAAAAGAGGAAAAAAGTAGGTGGAGACAGAGAAGTAGAAAATGTCGACAAAGAGAACAAATTTTTGGTACAAGAACTGTGTATCAGAACCTATATCCACTGAATTGAAATGGGTATACACCACACAATTAAGCATTCACTCACCTATCAAGTTAGTGTCTTATTACTGATGTACTTCAGTTGTTTGTGTGTATATCTGTGTTGATTCAATCTTATACTTGTCTCAGATGCCCTTTCACATTATTTGATATTTATTGATGATTTTTGAGTCAGTCCTAATTGTAAAAGCAGTTTTCTTTTGGGCTTTAAGTATGACATTGTTTACCTTTGATCTATAGAGTGTCCTTGTGTTATGCTAAGAGAATTCATTTTCTTATGCCAAACAGAGGGAACATGATGACTAAATTGCTGATAGCTTCTAGTGGACAATAGAGATAACTGAATAGAAATGGGAGGCTGTTTCTGCTGCTGTTCTAAAGGACGGGGACTGAACAGTTCGCCACCATTCTATCGTGTTAGTAATATCTCTCCCTTACACAGGATTATTTTAATTTTTTGGTATCAACTGATCCTAACCTTTATAGCTTTAGCAAAATTTTGTGCCTAGCATAATCTTGGTTTACATGGTATAGTTGTCTTTCATATAGGGTGAAACATCATTTTGCTATCTAGAATTTATTCTATTTTTGGATTCAGCTACTCAATGAGATAATAGGGAACTCGAATTTCTTACTTTACTGTCATTTGCCAATGGTTACTTGTATTGAAGTTAACTATGTGATGTTTTTTTCCCTTTTTAATCAGTAATGGTATAGTTCAGACTTAATTTTATTAGGTTTTGGTGCAAAAACTACAATTTTGTTTCCTTATGCAAGCTCTTGTCAGCTAGAAGATATGGGGGATCTTTAGTTGCTTTTGAACTTGGGAATTCGAGGCTTTTCCCAAGTCTAGAGTAAACTAGATTTGCTATAAACTATTTGAAGAACTTGGTGGGCATGTTCATTCATTTTTCTTTTTCAACAATTGTGTTCTTTTTAATCTTTATTATCTTGGTTGCGCATACATGATTGAAGAGTTGCGATGGTAATAACTCTAGTTGTTTTTTACGCCATGACCATATGATGTAGCTGCAAACTGTTCATCATGATCACCAATGCTATGAGGATCCACTTTTTCACCATGTCATGTAGATGCTAAGCTGCAAACTTTTCAACATGATCATGGATCCTATGAGAATCTTCTTTATGTCTGTACTAAATGAGAATCGATTTTTATCTCATACATACAAGCCTTTCACATTTTATTGGAACTAAATCAATGTAGCCTTTCACATTTATTTGTCTATTCTAAATAAATTTTATACGATTGGTTAAGTGGTATTACTATCTTTTTTTTTTTGTTTGTTCTGTGCAGTGGGCTCTTACTGGAGAATCACTTCCTGTCACCAAGAGGACAGGTGATGAAGTCTTTTCTAGTTCAACATGTAAGCAAGGAGAGATTGAAGTTGTAGTGATAGCAACTGGAGTTCACTCTTTCTTTGGAAAAATTGCACATCTAGTTGATTCCACTGAAAGTATTGGTCATTTCCAGAAGGTGATTAAGAAATCTATCATTGTTGAGCTATGCCTCTTGCCTTGTACATGGCAACTTAGAAATACTGCAACATGGAGTAGAGTTCCATAAGTAATTTAAGACTATGTAAAATGCAAGAAATTTCACACCAGGACAAGGCAACTTGAAACATGTTAACAATTAAAACTCCTTGAATATAAATAAGTTATGAGAGTATTGAAGTTTCCATCAAAATTTCAAACAAAACCTTGTTGGCAAACATTGTGAGAAATGTAAATTGTTTTTCCTGCAGGTTCTTATTGCCATTGGGAATTTCTACGTTTGTTCTATAGTTGTGGGGATGATTCTAGAAATCATTGTCATGTACCCCATACAGCTCCGTTCATACAGAGATGGAATCAATAACCTTTTTGTTTTATTGATTGGAGGAATACCTATAGCTATGCCAACAGTATTATCTGTCACACTCGCAATTGGTTCTCATCAACTCTCTCAACAGGTACAGCTCCTAATTGAGGCACCATTGTTTGTTACACACAAATAATTAATACAAACTCAAAATAATTCATGTAAGAGCCATAACAGAAGAATCTTAAGTTCAAATTTCAATGCTAACTACATAACAACTCTTTATTCTTTTAATTTTTCTCTTTTTTTCCTTCTATTACCTAAAGGGCGCCATTACGAAGAGGATGACAGCAATTGAAGAAATGGCTGGAATGGATGTCCTCCGTAGTGATAAAACTAGAACTCTTACCCTGAATCGCCTCACTATCGATCAAAACCTTATTGAGGTATGGAAAACTGACTTCATCAAGTCTTATTTTCCCTAAGCTAATACATACTTGATGATAAATTTCTTCTATATGTTTTTAACAAAGATATGGACAAAGACATGATTGTCCTGCTTTCTGCCAGAGCATCAAGATTGGAGAATTAGGATGCCATTGATATAGCCGTTGTTAACATGCTTGCTGATCCAAAGGAGGTCAGAGGAACTAATTGAGGCACCATTGTTTGTCACACACAAATAATTAATACAAACTCAAAATAATTCATGTAAGAGCCATAACAGAAGAATCTTAAGCTCAAATTTCAATGCTAACTACATAACAACTCTTTATTCTTTTAATTTTTCTCTTTTTTTCCTTCTGTTACCTAAAGGGCGCCATTACGAAGAGGATGACAGCAATTGAAGAAATGGCTGGAATGGATGTCCTCCGTAGTGATAAAACTAGAACTCTTACCCTGAATCGCCTCACTATCGATCAAAACCTTATTGAGGTATGGAAAACTGACTTCATCAAGTCTTATTTTCCCTAAGCTAATACATACTTGATGATAAATTTCTTCTATATGTTTTTAACAAAGATATGGACAAAGACATGATTGTCCTGCTTTCTGCCAGAGCATCAAGATTGGAGAATCAGGATGCCATTGATATAGCGTTGTTAACATGCTTGCTGATCCAAAGGAGGTCAGAGGAAAAATATATTGCTCTCAAGTTTCTAGGTTTTTTCTTTCTTTTCTTTTCACTTTTAGGTTATTCAAGAAGGGAAAAATCTTTTTGTCTACAGGCACATGCAAACATCACAGAAGTGCATTTCCTTCCTTTCAATCCAGTGGACAAATGCACTGCAATTACGTACATTGATTCTGATGGCAACTGGTATCGGGCCAACAAAGGATCTTCTGAACAGGTAACCACACTATAAAGAAACAATCATTGTAATTCTATAATCACATTGTTTCTGGCACTTATGGTTATGAACCTGAGAGAAGATTGTGTAGATTAAGTTTTCCCGACACAAACTAGGAAATGTTCATTAAAGTCCTTGTAGATCATGATCAGGGACTGTGATTTTTGGAATTTATAAAATTATTTTACAACATAAGTACCATGAATTAAGGATGCTAACATAGACTTTGATGTGACACAAAGTATTGAACCCATCAATTAAGAGTTTACACCACATGCAATATTGATTGATCCAATGTTCATAACATATCCATCCCTATGTTTATATACCCACCTTTGTTCTTTGATCACCCACAACATTGTTTATTCTCCGCATCAATGTGGAATGTATAATACAAATGTTTACCAGAGTTTACCATCACAAACATCCTTAAACTTGGACAACCCACACGATAGATTGGAAAAATGAGTTTATGGTGAATTGGTAATCAGGACCCTATATCTGCCCATTTACTGCTTATAATAGAGAATTATAAATTATAATTATCACTGCATTTGATAAGAGAGGAAACACTCTTTTTGGCAATGGGATATATATATTTAACGAAAATTGGAATATTACACTCTAAAATTAGCGTATCTTGCTTTAACTTCTCTGGACTTCGTATATGGTTGAGTAAAGAGAAAATCAAACAAAGTACGAACTGCAGTAACATGCCATAAGTACTACATTTTAGTCTCGGGCATTCATTGGAATTGTCAGATGTGGCTATCAATTCTATTGGCATCGTTCATTTCTTATATCCATAGCTCCTTAAGTACATTATTAAGTTCCTCTACAGAATTTAATCACATTTTTTTACTGAGTGCAATGTGAGCTAGATTATTTATTGTTTCCCAATGTATTCTTTTTTCAATATCCTAATTTAGTTGATAGATGTGTCAACTTTGGTATTCAGGGCATATATATATTTTTCCAAATATGTCCGTTCAATCATAAGATTTTGCATTTGGATATTTGAGTACTTAAATTGACTGCTTTAGAAACTCAATGTGGCATATTGTGGGTTTTCTTTCTGTGTCATGTTATCTGCTTTTTAAGCTAGACTCATTGTGTACACAATTTGTATTGACATGGATAGAGAGGTCTATACAATGTTAATGTTTTTCTTGTTTATTTTCTTTGCAGATTGGTTTTTGATGACGATTGGAAGCATACTTGCAAATCAAGATCACGTGTTGAATTTTTTTTTCTTGAACTGATATTTAGTTGTAGTTGCAAATCAAGATTGAGTTTTGATTTTTTTTTTGTGGATGGTTTTTTTGTTATATTTAATGGATTATTATTAAATTTGTTTGATGGATATATTTTGATTTATAATATAAATTTTTAAGTGAATTTGTTTGTGGAGTGGTGTATAATAGTTAGTGGATTTCTTAGTACATTTAAAAGGCTACTAATTGAAATTGAAATATAAAATATGGAACAAGTTTAGTGACAATTTTTTTTCGTCATTTGTACTTGTTATTATGACAAAGCAATTATTCGTCGCTAATAAATATTTTTTGTGACAAAAAATTTTCATTGTTTTTGTTGTTTGGTGACTAAAAATTTTGTCATGTATATAAATATATTTGCGACGAAATATATTTCGTCACCCATGTATGACTTTTGGAGATGAAAAATTTTGTCACCTTTACATCTTACAGTGACGAAATTATTTCCTCAACAATGATCAACATTTGTGACAAATTTGTTTGTCAACTAAAATTATTTGGTGACGCAAATGAGAATTTTTAGCGACAAAATCTTGTTTTATTGGTGACAAAAAATTTCGTCACTGAACTAATTTCATTGGTGACGAAATTATTTTTCGTCGCAGTAGTTTTTAGTGACAAACATTCAATGACGAAACTAGTGACGAAAATATTTCGTCACAAATATCTATAGTGACGAAATTAGCTCTTTGGAGACAAAAAAAATTCGTCATTTAAGACCCAACTTGTTGTAGTGTGGAAACTATCTTAGTAGCATGATGATATTTTTGTCTTTGAATGGATCATTTCATATACGTTGGCCAATCGAAAGGTCTTATGCACTATTGGTGTTGTGATATAAGAATTATATAGGTGATTATTGTGTACAAGTGCTATAGCGTTGAAGTGTGCCCTCTTGGCGAGGTTTGCCTTGCCGAGATTGGGCCGTGACAACAAAAGACATTGTTTGTAGTCTACAAATTAGTATTGTTCGTACAAATTAGTTTTATGGCATGGTACAGCTTACCTTTACATATTAGTTTTGATGCAGTACTGAATACCTTTTCACATGGTACAAATTACTTTCTTGGCATGGTACAAATTACCTTTTCCTGTGGTACAAATTAGTTTTTGCTGGCACAGATTAACTTTTGGATATTAATTTTGTTTAATCCTCTGTTATGTATGGAATTATATTTTTGAAGTTGGATTATACTTTGTTTGTATAGAATTTCTATTGCATTTATAATTTGATATTAAATATGAATTTTTTTGATAGTTAAAAGTGAAATGTGTGCATGTTGTAAAAGTAATGGTTTCTAATTTCGTTAGTATATCGATTATTTTATTTTTATACATGGTACAGGTTGCTCTAATAATGGAATAAATACAGGTGATCGAGAAATTAATAAAAAAATTATAAAGTTTTTGGCGACTAAATATTTTGGAAGCCAAAAATGCAAGCAATGGTTTTTCATGACTAAATATTTAGTAGAAAAAAAAAAAACAAAAGACTTTTGGTGACCGAATAGTTAGTAGCCAAAATAAATCAATATTAGGGAAAAAAAAGTTTGCCGACTAAATATTTTAGTCATGAAAGAACATCGCATCCTTCGGTGACTAAAATGTTTGGTCGTAAAATTCCATGAAATCTAATCTTTTAGCGACTAAAATCTTCAGTCGTGAAAACTAACAACAACTAAACTATTTGGTCGGTAAATGTATTATTATTAGTGAGTAAAATTTTTAGTCGGTAAATGTATTATTATTAGTGAGTAAAATTTTTAGTCGGTAAATGTATTATTATTAGCGGCTAAAATGTTTTAGGGACTAAATATTTTAGTCACTAAAAGATAATTAATTTTGATTTAATTACTTTCGGCGACTAAATATTTAGTTGCCAAAATGTTATTTTTGGCTACTAAGTCCGTTTTAGTAGCTGAAGATAATATAATTAGCGACCAACATTAATTTAATCACCAATGACTATTGCTGACCAGACTTTGGCGACGAACGAGCCGACAAAGAACTTTAGTCACTATTGACTTTCGGCGACTAAAAAACAACCTTCGGTGACTAAAAATTTGGTCGCCAAAAATGTTTTTTTCTTGTAGTGAATGGGTAGTTGTTTTATTAGTTTCTATTTTTTCAAAAGTCTAATATAGTGATAATTTTGATATCATTATTAAATCAATCCATTAAATCAAAAAATCCAAAACTAAAAACATTTCATATATTAAATATATCGATTGCATATTAAAAGCCTAACAACCACCCATTACATGATCATCATCCAAATACATAATAAAAATTTATTTGGTAAAATAAATAAATAAATAATGTGTAAAAAAAATTATCAATTTTATATAATTTTATCTTTGGTGGGTGGAAATAATTTTTTAAAATATTTTTTTGATATATATTTTGTGAAATTCGTTTATATTTTATCAAATTGACTATTTTACCTTCGAAATTAAGCAATGGAATCTTCAATTATTCTTATTTAGAATAAAATTCAAAATTCATGGTCAAATGTGTCACAATTGAAAAATCAGAGACTAAAGTGACACAAATCCTAAACTATAAGGATTGTTAGTGTAATTCGCCCTTTAATTTGAATGTAAACCTTATCATAATTGGATTTAACTTCAGTCATCAATTACACTTTATTTTCTATGATTTATTATGTGTTTCAAACAAAAATAAAAAATAAAATTGCATCTTTGTATTGTATTGTATTTATTTATTTATTCTTGATAGGTAAAGAAGACTTTATTGATAAAATAATAAAAGAGACAAAAAACAATGCAAGTAAGCACCAACCAATTTGGCCTGTGATTTGTTTCACATTTCAACTAACATGACACATAATAAAATATATACATAAATATATATTCAGAAACGTGGCCAAATGCATCTAGTCGGATTACAGTATTGAAAGAGAGGGATCTAAGACTTTTTATATACAGCCTATTTTGGAAAGATGGTTGAAAATTAATTTTTGATTTTTTTTAAAAAAAATGTGTAAAATATGTGAGAGATAATGTAATTCAAAATGAGTTAAAAGCTGAAATATGATTTTTAACTATTTTTCTAAAATATTTTTATATATAATTTCACAATTTGGTATGCTTCCACAGCACAGACACGGCATCTATATAGCAATATAACGTAGTTGTAGCTTTCTGGTATCGCCGACACCATCTTAAATTTATTGTCATTTAATATTGAAGTTTTTTCTGTTATTATTTTATTATTTTAAGGTTTTTTTTCTGGTACTCAAAATTTTTATTTATTTCTGGTTCAAATTTATTTATTTATTTATTTATTTACTTTTTTATAACTCAGATATTCAACCTTATTGGACTGATTAATTCAAAAGACTAAATTCTATATTACCACAAGACTCAATTAAAATTGAAAAAAAGTCGGTATAAACTGAACCGATTAATCGGGAACCCTCTATGGTGTATGTAACACGTGCAGTTCTGATAAGAATATGGATATGAGATTATATCATCTAGCGACATCTATAAGATTGATTGAGGATTTAAATTAAGATTTTATGTCAAATCAATTTTGTCATGAAGCAGTTGCAGAAATATATACGCTTAACGAAAATTATGCAAGAGTTGACATCAGATAATGAATTCATACGAATTATCAACTTTGTATATCATCAACCCATCAAACTCAATCTGATTTGCCATGCATCTCTCATGGTCTGTTGGATTAGTGGATGACAACA